ATAGTGAAATTCTATGCTGCTAGGCATACTTTGAAACATAACACTACATCCTAGTAAGTAACATACTATCGTTACTGTTCAAACACCAAGTTTGAAATTCACTACCACTCCTTTTCTGTATCAACAGATTCCATGCATATGATGAGCAGTCCAGGGAAAGGCAGGAAGAGATTAAAGCATTGGCTGTCAGGGGAATTAATAACAGGGACTGCTTCTGTTTGCAAGGCACAGATTCAAAGCTAATTTCTCAAACAGTAGACCAAACTGATTTTTAATTTATTTCTTGTATTCAGCTTTCCTGGTTTTCTGGTTTTGTTTAGGGTTTTCTATTCTGTATTTGTATAAAATTCGTTCTTTTAAGGCTTCAAGGCTCAATGTAGCCATAAATGGTGGTGGCTTAAGGAAGCTTTGGATTGGTAAAAGAGCCCAACATACTTGTAGTTTTCTGTATTTTACGTTCTTAATTCAACTGATGATTGCCACTAACCCAGTAACTCAGATTGCTATAGTATAATACAGACACGAAGACAAAATTTAAAACAGAGGAGAATGTGGGTATAATCTACCATACCCAAATATCAACTCAGCAAACCACAGAACTGTGACAGACTCCACAGGCGTACCTTGGACAGGCAGGAAGATAAAAATAACACATTTGCTTTGAAGCCTGGCATCCTCCTCTCCCAACAAGCTTTTTCTCTCATCTAAAATTTAGCTATGTATCCGCCCTTAAAGTTTAAGTAATCATACATGATTCCAGCCTTCTTTTCATCAGTAAAGTAACTGTAGCAAGCCATATGCAAGCAATGTGAAACACAGTTTTACGGTACCACTTTGTAACTCCAGCTCTTTATTGCAGCTGTACAAAGTGAAGAAATATTTTATCTTATTGCTTTGAAACCAAGAAAAGTAGACCTGAAACCGGTTGTCTTTATATCACACAATTCAAAACCAATAAAAGGTGTTTTATAAAGCTCTCTCTTTATAAATCTATCATTAAATGACGAGCTTTAAAGAAACTTCCACAAACATGATTTATTTTACACAGTTTCTTGAACCTTCTTCTGAAATATTTCATAATGACGATTCTAAGAAATGGAATATCAAGCTGCACAGATCACTGGCCTGATACTGTGTTTCTACACTCCCAATTTTAATAGGATGCAGTTTATACGACTGTAGCAAAAGGCAATAATTTTGTACAGAAAGGTAGTTTCTTTCCCTTGAAGAATTCTGCTGTTGGAACAGAAGTAAGGATGCTTAAATTGGAAGGAAACAAAGAAAAAATGTGTTTTTAAAAACGATGGAAAGAAACCAACATGCAAGTTACATAAAAACATACACACGGATTTTCACCAAGCTCTTATTGACCTTTGCTTAGAATAGCCTACATAATTCACTCTACACTATAACTCTTATGAAGTAATGCAACTGCATCCTCTTATCAAAGCCTTTTTTTTTTAATATGCACTGAAGATTATTTTTAGACTATTAAAACTTTTTTTCCAAACTGTATACGCACACTTCAACCCCACATCCACCCCAAGCCTATTGTTGAAATAATTCCACTTATTTCAGCATAAAGCCTCCAGGTGCTTCCTTTTCAATGCTTACACTGAACACCTCTGTACTGGAAGAATCACAAAAAGCTTTGCATGCCTGTTTATAAAAGCTAGACACTATGTGTAAGCAGAAACAAACAAACAAAAAAATATCGGCATTCTTTTAAGAAAAACTACCAAATATTGAGAATTGAACAGCAATAGCAATTCTACCATTCCTAACATTTAAGCTTCCCTTCTAAATCCCTGAAGTCAATCAAATACCACAGAAGTCAATCCATAGTGGACTTCTCCATTTCTGTGGACTCCTAATATTTGCATGAGATTCTGCAGATCTGTTTCACAAAACCCAGTTAAGATCAGGTCTTCATTAATCACTCATCATGTGCTTGGACCCCTGACTTCGTATGACACTGAAGCCCTTCCCATTAAGAGCCCACTGTTGGATACCGGTTACATGCCATGTTTCTGCTCATGCTTTAAAATGTTCTCTTACACCAGCACTTCAAATACATACAGAAACACATTGTTACATCAGCACTTATTTTAGATTTGCATCCAGTTCTTTTTTTATTTACATAAAGAATCATAAACCATAGAATGGTTTGGGTTGGAAGGGACCTTAAAGACCACCTAGTTCCCCCCGCCCTGCCATGGGCAGGGACACCTTCCACCAGACCAGGTTGCTCCAAGCCCCATCCAACCTGGCCTTGAACACTGCCAGGGAGGGGGCAGCCACAGCTTCTCTGGGCAGCCTGTGCCAGTGCCTCACCACCCTCACAGTGAAGAATTTCTTCCTTATACTTAATCTAAATCTATCCTCTTCCTGTTTAAAACCTTTAACCCTTGTCCTATCACTACCCTCCCTGATAAGAGTCCCTGCCCACCTTTCCTGTAGGCCTCTTTCAAGTACTGGAAGGCCGCTATAAGGTCTCCAAGGAAAGAAACTAGATTGAAAGCTTTATGAACTAGCTAGCAGGAAGCAGGTCAGCATTGCTAGGCCATTTGTTATCTCACTAGACGGACATCTAGTTAGAACTTTTCCAGCTGTACAACATTAGAATGTTTCTGATAAATCTCCAAGGAGTTTTTGATCTCATCAGTGTTTGGAGCCTGCAGAAAGAGGTATGAGTGATTCTTTATTGAATATTCGTCCTTCTGAGATACTACTGGACTGACATGGCATTAAAGCAGTATCATAATATCACCTTTATCTATTACAGGACAGCACAGCCTTTTGTGCATTTATAACTCATAGGTCAGCAAGCCCATTAAGTTGTGGTACAATGAAAACACGCTGCTGATGCAAGTTTTACCTCTCAACCTAGAACAAAGCAGCAAACTACTGTGTTAGTATGTCCAGCCTATGAATAGCTGTACTCTAGGAAGAAACAGTTCAGCCACTGCATTCTAATCTGTAGGATCTACTTGCCCTGCTGGAAACAATTTATCAGAGAAGCAGTGTTTCCACCTCTATTTGCATAAGCTTTTTTTAAAAATTCTGTATTTTATTTACTATTTATATGTAAGGGCTTGCTACA